TCTCAACTGTACTGCCAGCTACCACTGTATTTTCGTATGATTTTAATGCTACGGCTGACCAAGGCATTTTGTAACTACTGAACCTACAGTAGATATGGACTGTACGCGATCAGGCACGCCTACCGCGACCTTCCATAAACGTACTCGGGGAATAATTACCGTGTTCCATGAATTCAACAGAACTATATAGTTACGGTTATGAATTGCAAACTTTTTTTTTTTTCAAAAAACAAATTTTCGTTTATGACTACCTCCACTGATATTCTCTCTTGTTATTCTATTGGATGTTGCAAATAGGTACTTGAATTCATGGTAGCGGTACGTGGCTCAAGAAATTTTTTTTTTACAGTGAAAAAAATTTTATTTTGTCTGGATTATTCCGAAAAATAAATCTGTTTTTTTTTCTCAGATATTCTTATCGTCTTTTTTATTTTATTTTCTGCATCCTCGTTATCTCTATTATCATTTCTTTGGCATTCTATATATTTTTCAAAATGGCCTCTAAGGCTTGTCTCGATTTCCAAAGGCTGTTACAAAATAATTTTTTTAAGTAAAAACATGAACGATGGCTCAGGGCACTCATCAGCTTAGACACATTGATGGCATGTATGCTTCCTCTCATATGTTTGACGGAGGAGCGGTCGTAGTCTAGGTCCAGTGTTAAATCTGTTCTTCACACTTAAAAGCGAACTCTTTGTTCTCGGAGCGACACCGTGGCCAATCGTAAAGTTGAATGGCGTGTAAGTCCTCTTCTTTTTGTATCCATTTCCTTTCAACAAGTTAAAAAAGGAAACGTGATTATAAATTGAACATAATAATCGAGTGGATTGTGATCGGTGTTGAATAGTGAAAAGAAAAAAAAATGTATAATCAGAGTTCAGTGAGGTTGCTCGATAATTTTTCACTAATTAATTAGTGTCCTTAATTGTCTATTGAAAGTATACGGATTATCCTAATTGAAGTACACGTCAATAGCTATATTCTCAATGTGATAAGTGTTTTAGCCTTTATATATATGTATATAAAAGTATATGTATACACTGGTCTTATGTTCTCTATGAAATTCGGTCATGAATATTCAAAGCCTACAGACTCCTTGGAAATTAACTAAGGTGAATAAGCAAGGTCGCGGTTCATTAAGTTCAGGTCAGTGTTAACTGACGCTAAGGAATGTTATAGAGGGAGTTTAGTTAATTAGTCTGTACCAACCGAAAAGGTAATTGGATACCCGCTTTGATCATTAGTGCTTCAAAACGTTTGCTGTTGACAGTGCTTCGAATCGGTGTACCGAATTTACGGGTTTTTGCGTGATTAGTAAATATACATTCCAAATCTGTGTTCGATGTTCATTCCAGTCTGTGTTCAATTAGATGCGTAGTTGACGCACTACGCAATAATCTAAAAATAAAGAGGTTAAGTACGTTGTAAATGTATTATTGGAAATTTTTATTAAAAAAGAGAGATAAATAATTGCATAAATCGTATAATTTGTATTTTGAGTTACTGTGTCCGTGGATATTTTTTTCTAAACTTACAAAGGAGACTTCAAAAATTCACGACATAATAATACCTGTGATTGGACACGGTGGTAGGAACGATGGGATAGATTGTCCGCGTGGATATGGTCCTGAGCGACAGCACCATCAAGATTATCGTCCACGTCATCTACAGCAGAATTATTTTCGTGACTCCTGGAACAGCCTGTCAGAATTCTTCGGGATGCATGCTGGTATGAGAAGCACATTTTTGGGGTCATCGATAATGACCCCAATGGGAAACTTCCGAAGGTACGAGCAGGTAATGACTTCTTATGCTCAAATAGTATTTAACCTGTAACCGTTGAGAGTGATAATTGTCCATGAATGAATTATAACCAAATATCACAGCATGTCATTGATTATAAAACGAAGCTGTTAGGTTAGCTGTGAGAATAGGAAGGTTTCGTTTTCTTTTCTATAAAAGTTCATACCAATTTATTCAAACTTGACCTTTGCCCTCTCGTTGGTACTGCCAAAAACGTATTTTTGAAATGTCACTGATATTCGTGTATCTACCGTTGGGAATGTAAAGACGCGACGCTACCGCCATCTAGCGAGCTCTGGCGGAAACCACTCGAAGTTCAGCATTCGAGGAGAGCTTGTAAGATTTCGTAAACAGGAATGTCGTTGGTACAAAGTTTTAACGTGAGAATAAAGTACGGCTTTCATTATTACGTTACGTAAAGGGAATTATATACAGTGACTCCACGAGTGATGTGTATTTTTGATGGGCCATCTCTATAAGACTTTCGACACAAGTGAGTACTCTAAATTTCGTCTTTGATTCGTAGATCGACTGGAGACTCTATCCACAGGTAATGCGTTTCTTAGGGATCGTCTTTGTCCTAATTTTTAAAGCAAAACAGTCGCACATTCTATTTCACTCGTAAACAGAGACTCTCTATAGGTAATACATACGTCGGGCACAAAATGAGAATCACTGCTTGTGTCAATAACTTGTTTATCGATGGTTGCCAGCGAGCAGCAATGCACTAATTCTCGTTGTAGATAATTAGCCACTTGTCATTCCGACAGAATATTTCTATTTATTCATGTAAATCGTCATTGCCGTGTTTTTCTCGTGATTTCCTGAAAACGCGATGATATAGAAAAATGATGTAGTAATAATGCGTTTAGTATCAGCGCACGTAATCGTCCTCTCAAATTAATCATGCACGACGTACCGGATTACACGCGTTATCCACTTTGTATGAGATAAAATATTTTTTTTTATAATAAACAGGAAAAAAGTCATCCATCCATACACAATGCGAGTTTCTCTATTTGCAGAGTTTACATAAAAATATAATCGTAGATACAGCATGCAGTCGTTGCAGCCAGAAATAAAAAAATATTATTTCCAGAAAGCAATGTTGCAGAGTCACTCGATGCTCATCCGGTTGGCAAAACTGTAACTAAAAAAAAAAACAATCTTAGCTCTGTCTTTTTCCTCCAGAAACGAAAAAACAAATTTGCAAATTCCGTTGTCGGCAACCTGACTATACAGCCGTTTTAAAAAAGATTGCCTGCAGTTAATCGCCACCTTTTACTTCCGATAAAGCAGTTTGCCATGTGACGTAAGAATAATTAGCAGCGTGCCGCCATTTCCACACGAAATCAGTCAACCTTCTTGCCGTATTGTTTGACGCAACATTCTAAGATTCGTATTTTTGAAGACGAATCGATAAACGCAGAGAGATACGAATTTCAGTGAAAAATAACAATGGTCGGTCCACGAACCACGATACGTCGATTGCACAACATCCAGGCATCTCCAAACTTTTATGAAGGTTAGCAAAAAAAAAATTTAACAGTTTACTGACCTCACCCACTTCATACTATACTACAGTATGCTATGTTCTACTATATTATAGTATATTAAGCAAAAGACTCGATCATGCTTGGTAACGCTTTAGTTTCAATGTATCGACATGAGACAGGGTACGTCGATAGCCATGCAGACGTTGTCGCAGATTGAGAATAGTGGGACGGACTGTAATAAGGGTCGGCGACTCGGTTGCCTACATTTGCGGCCGTCGCGATGTCCCGTCGCGATGCCAACACAATAAAAAGAGTTTCGAAAAGGTGGTTGGCGCTTTCACTCGCGCGCAGCCAGGTTGTTGCTGCTGGCTTTTACCTGCTGGAACTACAGCCGTAGCGTGTACTGGAACACGGATGGAATAGTTAGGGCACATGACACGTGCACACGCGAGCCGTGTCTCTCAACGAGTTAGTGAGTGAGAGAGAGAAAAATAGAGTTACTCTATAGTGTACATTGGCTTCGTACAGGCAACGTAAGCTAGTAGAAAAGTCAGCGAGAATGTGAACGTCAGACCGACCAATGAACCGCCTCTTAGTTCCCATAAGCTGGGGCTCGCGATCGTTCTCACCGTCAGTCATTCCTACGCGGCGCTACGATTCACGTCAGGCACAAGTAGCAGGACCTACCTTAATCTGGACAGCTGTGAAAAGATCATTTAGATTTTTCATCCCTTAAACTTTGAAAGTATCGATAAACCATCCGCCTGGGATATATTTTAATCGTACTGGTGGGTGTTGCTATTTGAATTTTCCCGCCTCGGAGAACCTTATTGGGTCAGGCATAAAGGAATTCCGGGTCTTGTCGAATTATTTGATTCGTACTATGGAGTTGTGATTAATATCGGGATCGTGGTTCTTCGTGTAGACTAGATAAGGAATTTGAAATTCTTTTTTTAATGGATTCTCGTTTCGATCGAGTGTATATTGATCTGTTTGATTAAATATATTGAGAAGTTTGTCAGGGGTGAGTATTCTGGGTTATAGAGCGATATTACCACTGGGGTGATAAGGGATTCGAAGTTACTACATGTTGCTATGTCCGTTTTGATAATTTAGTAGAATTGAATTGTTAAGAAAAAAAAGAATTGCAAATTTTTCACACGTTATTCGTTGCACTTGGAAAATTATTGTATGCTGTATAAACGCGGTGGTTGTTTCGGCAAATTTATCGTGTCGCGTAATAATCAACTAGTAATCGGATGATTTTTCGGATTGATATCTGTCAGTCGGCGGCGGGTTTTTGAAAAAGTGGCGCTACCGAGAACAAGTCAGACGTCTGCGGCGAGGTGGCTGTCGCGATTGTCGGTTTAGCGTTTGCATAGTTGTAGGCGGCAGGTTTGGTTGATTCTCGTCTGGTATCGACCAGACGCGCGCAACCCTTTTTGCAAGTGGCGCAGTGCTGCCACCTAGCGGCGTATTAGAGGAGCACGCACCCTCTTCCGGCTACGACGCCGAGACGCCAGAGTGGGGGTTGAAAGTGAGTTGGCGTGACTGCGGAAGGGAGAGACTGTTGGACGCCAACGTGTGCGCGTCCGTCGGGAGCACGCTGCTGTTGCTGCTGCTCCTTCTGTTGTTGTTGCCGTTGTTGTTGTTTCGCTTCAGCTGCTTTTGTTGTTGCTGCTGGTTCTGGGTGGTGGTGCTATTGCCGTCTGTACGTGCATAATAAAGTAATTGAAAGTTACGACAAGGGTGGGTCTCGGAGGGAACTAGGGTGAGCAAGAACTCTTGATTCAAGAGTGAGAGACAAAAACAAGAAAAACAAGTACAACATCAACTAGACGCAACAACAACACGAATCTAAATATTGTACGTTATACGATAGTCTTGTGTAGTACAACTGTAGTGGTAGATCAGGTTGGGTTAGACTAAGTGAATATACAACGGAACAGCTGGGGTTCGACTTGGAGGGTTGTTTGAAGTAGCAACAAAAAATAATAACAAAGATCAAACAGCAACAACAACGAGTAACAAAGACAAGGAGGAGAAAGAATAAGGGTGTTCCTGTAAAGTGCTGGCGACATACCTGCTCCCAAGGTTCCTCCCGATTCCTGAGGTACCAATAGAGTCCTGAATCCAAGGTATAAAGACGTAGTCAAGGAAGAAGAGAAAGACGAGGAAAAGGACCAGGGCCAGGTGCCATCAGGTCGAAGGTCAGAAGAGGTCGCGGAGAGAGGAGGCGCCTGCGGAGATCATCGGATTGAATGGGTGGGTCGGGCGCCGGGAGGGCTACGACGAGGCACGAGCTCAACGCGGTGCCACACCACGTCGGTCACGGGGAGCGAGTCCTCGTTATCGGCGAGCCCCCGGTTGCTGGGTGCCGTTGTTGCTCATCGCATCGTCACTCGCCACCCGGAAGAACCACCAGCACCGCCACCATCAACAAAATCACCACCAGCACCGTCATCACTACCAACCCCATCACGACGATCGCCACGTCCCCCGTCATCTTCAGGAACAAACGACATCACGTCGGCAACGACTGGAGCACCGATCACGTGAATCTACCATCACCGCCGCCCCTCACTCTGCTACATATTCACGACAGCAACAACGCCAACGCTATTGTCAACGGTAACGCCAAGGCTGCCATGTCATCGCCGCCGAAGCATCGCCGGGGCTTCGACCCCAATGACGCCACCGCCAACGACTATCGCCGCTATCGTCGCGTTAAAACGCGACAGCGGTGAGTCCCATCCCATCCTTTGCCAAATCAAGATACTTGCATATATCAAGAATTATATCCACGTATATATATACATATACATACACACACGCAATTTTATCAAGCTCTGACATAGTTTATCAAAATTTACAACTGTCATGCTTGTATCAGTTAATCGTTATCTGTCAATTTACACAAGCATTATTCAAAACCGATTTTTACCTGAACGCTAAAAAAATTTCAAGAATATCAAATGTATTCTGTATACATATATTTACGTGTATATATATATATATATATACATGTAAGGATCGTCTCCGATATTAATCTGGAGTCTGATTAATATACATGGCACAGCACGCACGCGAATCATCACAAAAAAATAATAATAAAGTGCAAGTGCAATTGCAGCGTAGTTACGATTACGCATATAAAATACGTGCTAACAAGAGTACGCTTCTTTTCTATAAAAACAAATTCGATAAAATCAAAGATACGAAGAAAAAAAGTGCACAGCATCCATATTGAAGAATAGTTATTTCAATCGTCTCTCGATCATGGACCGGAAGCGTACTCACTTTCTGACACAGTCACGCAACGTCACTGATGCCGTATGCACTATCTTCACAATGTTCACAGAGGCTTTGTATGTGACCCGCACATCCGCGTGACCCTCTGGACCAATTTCTGGACACACAGAATCTTCCCGAAAAATCCGACATATCCAGCACAGCATCCACCACACACACGCTTGCGATGTTTGATGTTGGACCGCTTTCTGGTTGCGTCCTGTTCACCTGCCCGTGTCTGATGATGTCATTGTGGTGTTCGATAATTGATTATATATATATATATATATATATATATATTTACATATATATTATATTAATGATCTTAATTACCAATCGGTATCAAATCGATAAGCACAGCTTCGCACTTATCGATGTCACCTGATGCCCTTATACACTGTGCTTGGCTTGGATTGTCGAGCTTGGCACATTTACTGTTTACAATAAATAATTATAATAAAAAAATTTATATTTTAATTAACACGTACGTCAATTATCATTATATACAGATAAAACCTCCCTTATCAATCGATACGACAGTTATACAATTTTATATGAAATTAATCAACAGACGCCTGTAATCACTGTGGAAATTATAATGCCCGGCTAAAGACATTTTTTTAATACCAGTCCCTCCTCCTATCTCCCACCCTTATATCACTTCATTAACTTGACCCATCAAATCCACCTGTCACTGGCCGATAATCGATACCGTACACATTTTTTTCCCCATCCATTCGGATGCGTTTTCGTAAATATACATTTTTTTGCCAGCTGACGTTCTCAAAGACATTTTTTTTATCTCATCTTGAACTACCTTCGGTGCTACCTTGTATCTCGTATCCTATAAATGATTTATGGTTCGTTATAATTTGATCGGTCCTCTCTTGGGATGAACAATAATGTAAATATCATAAAAAGCGACATGCGCCCTCGACGTATCGTGTCGCCAGTCGCTATTGACTTTTCGCGCATTTGTAAACACCACCCTCTGTCCATAGCTCTAATTCTGTTACCAGTGTGCTTCTTCTGCTACTGATATATCTATGGGTATAGACAGATATATATGTATATATACAATTTTTATATATTATATACATACAAAATATATATACGACATATGTACACGCACGCGGAAGTTAATGTTTATCCTGCATTTGCTTGCGATTATTATACATTTATTTATACAGAAAATACAGATTATTTATTTATACACGAAAATACAGATAGTTCGTATCACAATCATGCGAATTTATTGTATCTTATTGTCTGTACTTTATCTATACGCTTTATGATGCATTTGATTTGCATGCATATGCATTGCTAATATATATGTATATATATATATATATGCATATATTATTAAATAAATGATTTAATTAGTGTGTTTAAAATTATGCAATTCGAATTGAATATATCGATTGAACAGATACAGTACTAATCGATGGTGCCTAATCAGCGATATTTAATTTCCGAATAACAATGTCTTTCGGTAGTTAATACAGTTTTGGGTAAAATTTCCCAAAAACATTGTTGGACCTTTTTTTTAATCTTTTCTGTCAGGGAATCTTTACTGAGGTTAGGTAAGGTCAGTTAAGCGTCGCAGTCTCGTGGCGAAATATTAGGGTCGAAATTCGCGATTGTCACGCTATGACAATTTTGCACGATCGATACGGGGCAGACTGTGAATTATCTATAGTAATCGAGTTTATTCGCAATCTCGTGCAGATGGCTGGGATACCGGCTGTTTCCCTTAGATACGTGAAATTCCTGGATTACCGCAGATCCGTCTATCGGAACTGCCGATTAATTATCGACGTCGGATTAGTCGAGGATTTCATCTGAAATCAATGCGATATATCAGTCATCGATAGAAATCGATACATCTACCTGCGATTCAATCGATGGTACCGTGTATAAACGTACAGTACGTCCGATGCCTATACGGATGCTGTAACTCTATAAATGAGGTTTAAAAAAATTGTACTTCGATAATTCAAGTTCGTTACTGCGCATGCGCCGATAATCTTGAAAATTCTTTCTTCGTCCCGTGCAAAATTGTTCTGTAATATCGAAAAATTCTCCGACGATCCACTTGGGAAATTTTTCCTTTACTTTTTTTGTTCTTCCCTTTTTCTTAGGGGAAAGGAAAAGAAACCTTGTTAAATTTCTAGGTAACTCGTGTAACATGGTCTTAGACGTAGAGTCCCCTTTCTATCGATTTCATCCCTTTCGTTTCTACTTCCTGCTACTCCTCCTTTATGTAGCTACCTTCAAGTGCTATTAATACTGACAATTTATGTCTGAACCTTTACAGGTATGACGTAACTCTTAACAATCGTTCAACTTTCCCATACAATTCCCAGCATCCCCCTTGCTCCTGTTGCTGATCTTCATGGAGACCGTATATCACAGAGGACTTGACGTCTCTTGTAATACTTCATTTAGGTAGTAATGTAAGAGAGAGATAAAGTATCAATTTTCTACTCGCAAGATGAAATTCAATTTACAGCATCTTCAGGAGCCGCTACAATTATTCTTCATGCCTAAATGACACAGGACGTATTATTAGACAGCGCTGTGTACATTTGTCAAGTAAAGCGACAAGATAGAAATTTGTTCTCTGAATCAGAAAGTAATGTTACCTAGGTTCACCCTGTGTATCAAGTTTCGCTTGATATATATATGCGAGTACGTGTGTGTAATCTGGTAGTCAGTCAATTTTAACAATTTTTTACAATTTTACACGTGATGAATTTGCACATAAATTTTCGCTTGTCTCTTCCGCGTTACGCGCATAAAGTACCCATTAGAAAATCTCGGTGTATACCTATGTATACTTGACTGTCGGAATATATCAAAGATAACGATTCGTAGAGTGCAAATGATCCCGTGTGATAATAAATCAACCCTGGCGATATCGATCGCGAAGGCAATTCCCCGGAGCAATGGGAATTCAGGAAAGTCATTGGAAAATTTGAAAAAACAAATTTTAAAATAATTGTAAAGTTTGAAACTTTGTTAACGATAAGATTTACGGTGATAAGAGAAAGCGATGGGGAAAAAAATGGAATTGTTTATAATACAGCATCGGTGACGTCATTTATTTGATCTTAAGATCGATCGTCCTTTATCACGGGTAAATAATTGCTCCTGACGAGCTCGTGGAAATTTAATTGTATCTCATCCTAATCTCTCGTCGGGATCTTCCTGCTGATTTACTGTAGGCTGAGTTGCTGCGATTCTTTCGCCAAATTCTTTTTACTTCCGGTTACGGACGTTTCCGCTCGCTCCACTTCTTGCCGAGCTGATGACGTCAGCGCTTAAATTGAATCTTCCTGCCCTCCTTCCTTCTCTTCTGCTCCTTCCACTTCCAGCTTCACCCTTGAGGCTGTCTGTAACTGGCTCTTACTACTGCTCGTCCTGGTTACTTGACTGGTGGTAAAATGCACTGAAATTAATGGACGTTGTCAATTGAATTAAATATTACGTTGGAAACTACCCTTATTACGATAATCATGCATTAAGGAGATTTCACACTGAATTCGTATGGAATAATGTATTTTTTATTAGATCGATAAGATTCGTGCGATTAGAGTGTAAGGGGTGGACTAATTGATCGGCGGTAAGGATTGTTTTTTGTTTCTGTAAATTGCTTAGGTCAACTTTAGGGACGCAACGAACAGGGTCGTTCTTAATCGCTGAAACAACCCGGGTGGTAATTTGATTAGGGGTAATTTTTTGATTATAATAAATGGGGTAAATTGGAGCTGACTATTGTTATACAATCATATTCCTTACAAGCTTATTCCGACAACCTCAAAGCACCCCTTCTTTCAGCAGTGTGTCCTCCATCATTGGTTACGAGCTTTAGGAAGCCCTTTAAGCGCTTTTGTGTTGTAAACGTAGACTTCGCCTGAAGAACAGTGCCGTATAAAAAAGGTAGAAGGGTTCCACGAGAATTTATAGAATTTTTCAAAAAATACTAAACTTCCCTTAAATACTGGGAATTATATAAAATTCCTTTAAAAAAAAGTGTCCTATAATTTTCAATAATACATTATCTACACTTTTTTGAAAATTTTTTAAGTAACTATCAAGTCACTCTTAGATGCAAGTAACATTTTCCCTATGTGCATTCAAAGTCTAATATTCTTTCTCAAAGGGATTCGGTTTATCTCAAAATTTCATTTTATCGTTTCAAAATGTAATACAAAATGTAGAAAAAATTTGAACATTTTTTGACCAATTAACCTACCCTTATGTCTACGTTACTGATGTCTCCCTAGGAGGTTGACTGTGTTTATGCGCCAGTTGTAAAAAAGCAGAGACCGATCAGTCGTTCAGTGGAGAGAGAGATCGCGAATTGTATTGGTCGAGGAAGAGAGAGAAAGTAGAAGTAAAAAAAAAAGGAAAAATATACCAGTCGTCAAAATGTCAGTGGCGTACGCGAACCCTGGGGAAATTGTAACTCGATCAAAAGTGAAAGAGTGATATGGGCGTAATACCCACCTTTCTGGACTCGGTGCTGTGCCTCGTCTTCACGAATATCGTCCTTAGGTCGTTAGGGGTGTGCAAGGTCTGCATACCCTACGCCATCGTGCTTACTCTCCTCTTCATCGGCTTTATATATCTGTGAGTTTGATACCGTTTGAAGACGATGGAATTCGTATCCCTTGTGCTTTATTGAATTAATGCAGATATGAAAAAAAAAAAAAAAATTCTAAAAATTTTACGTACAAGGATACGAGTTCTTGGGGATGACTTTTGAGATAGGCTTCTGCCTCCTAGATATGCGTACCTGTGCGATCCTCGGGCCAGGAATAGATTCTGGTTAGAAAAAAGGTTTGGGATCGTTAGGGTCTCGACTGAAATAATAAAATCAAAAAAATCTTAAATAAAAACAAGTTGCGCAGCTCCATAAAAATATTAAAACTTGCAGTTGCTACGATCCGCGTGGTAAACTTTTCTGGACCATAGGGGGATGCTAGACTTTTTGAAGGGAGTCGGGATGAGTTTCTCGAGAAGTTTTTCCTAGGGATTACTGGGAGCGAACCTTACGTAAGGGATAATGGGGGTATTCGAGGAAGAGGGTGTGGGCGACTAGGAGAAGCTTTTTAGTTCATTAACTATTGAAGAATTTGACATTTATTTTTTAATTGAATAACCCAAAATTTATTTGACTTCTTATCAATGATTATTTTAAGTAGATTTCAATGTTGGGCCTATCAGGATGATAAATGGGTTTTAGATGCTGTTAATGCTAAGAAGAATAATGATGATATTAACCTTAGGAGTTGCCGAGCGTAACGTGATGTATTTTTTAGTTTAATCACGTATGATTAATTATAATTATGTAGTTTCAAGTGGCCCGAGGGTTGGTATACGTGTATCCCGTATCGCTCGGTTGGTCGCGTATCTGGAAAATGATTTAACGTAGGATTATATAATGTTAGGATATTGCGTACAAAAAACTACCCCTATACGTTAAAACGATATAGGACAAATCGAATCATAAAAATATAAGATTTTTACCTAGACTGGATAAACGGCCGTCCGGGCGATACGAAGTGCAGGCAGAGGTGTTGATAAATTAATATACAATTTTTAAAAAATTGTCCCGGTAACAAGATTACGTTGCTTGGCAGCTCCTAAGGGGAGGTTGTGTACCTATGGAGAAGATGTTGAACTGGATCAACAGATTATATTTAACATGGATGCTGCTTCCTGGTCAGAGTGGTGGTGGTCCCTTCCTGAGGCGCAAAAAGCGGTGATAGTATCAAAAACAAAAATCAAACCCCCGCCCCCCTTCCGTATATTACTTCTAGCTAGAGAAATTAATTTTTCATCCTTCCGGCTTGATCGCAGTAGAAAAACGCTTGACTAGGTCAGACAATGAATTTCTAAAAGTTCCTCATTACCCATAAGTCATTAGGTCTGTAACAGTACATAAATTATCATACGAGAAACTTAAAACGTTTGAATCATCCATTTTCCGACTGTAAAATTCAAATGGTAGGTACTCCAAACCCTGTTAAGAAGGGTATGAAAAAAAAAAACAGCTCGATATCGAGCAGTCCGTTAAACTGGCATGGAAGGTCAGAAGTGGTCTAGGGGTTAGGAAGCCGTTAGAGAATACTTAACCCACTCTGGTACCCTAGGAAGTCCTCCTCTTCCGTCTAGTGGCAACATCTTAGCCCCTCGAGCAATACAAACCCTATCTCGTAACCATCCTCAACGAGCTCAACCATCCACTCATCCACTGGCAAGATGGTAACACAGCTACCGTATGGTACAGTGTCACCTGGTGTGAAAAGTCGGAACAACCAAAAGCCGTTCCTTTGGGTTGTAGATTCTAGGGTCGTCGTAGTACGTGAACGCCACGTCGGATGGCGCCAGTGTGTCACGACGACAGCGCCACTGGCGGGAGACTAGAGAAACGCGCGAGAGCACGATCGTCAGGAAGGAAGTAGGAGGGCGACTGGGATGCGGATGAATGGAAAGGAATGGAATGGAATGAAACTAGGGCTGGTATCTTCTAGGAAATCGATGTTAACCCGTTTAGAGAAGCGACTCGGAGTAGGATTCGGAGTTTTACAAGGCTGTCTTTACATCCGTATGTATTCCCTATACGAAATAACGTATACACAAAGCAGTGTGTCCGATGCATTCGGTACTTTTGGTCTCTTCTCGTATCATAGAGAAGCACGAAACGAAGTGGTGCCTAGAATGTGTCTGAGAGAATTTTAAATCGTCAGGGTGTTCCTTTGGTTGGTGCGCGAAGCACCCTTCGCTGCCCCTACTGGCTGGATCGATCGCATCCGGAAGCTACGGGGAGAACATCGATAATGCGGATTAGCTACTGGCGAGAATCGCGGGTTCTTCAAAGAGAAAAGAGTGAGAGTGCAAAAATACGAGAGAGAGAAACAGAGAGACTATAAAGGATGGTAGAGAAACATGGAAAATTGTTAAAATAAAAGGTATCAGAGTTTTAAACGCTTGTCCGATCAAACAAAATGGCTGGTTAATCTTGCGCAATGATAATCCAACTAGCTCTCAGGATTAGAGACGCCAGTACTGTTCACCCCCTTGATATATAGCTTAGTGAATGACCTGCACTACCATTTTCCTGAATTAAAAAAAAAACTTGATATTCCCTATATTACTTATTACAAAAATCATCATTTTTCCCTACTTTTAAATTTGTCCAATTGATGTCTGACTTATCAATGCACTTTACTACTTCTATTTCGTCTGCCCTTGAATAATCACATCTACTTGAATCTTGCGAGCGGTTTTACAGAAGAAGCTGCTAATTAAGTGACTCAGTCGCTCAAGCAGAAAATGTCGGATTCTTTATGCTTCATAGTCCTTCTCGAGAATCCACTCGTGCAAGGCTCCTTTATAACCTCTTGATAAAATACGAAAATCTGCTTGATCCTATTGTGATTTATAATACATTAATAACACTCATTGTTCATGACAATGAAATATTTTGAAATTTTTCGAATATCTAATCCACGTTAACGTTACAATTCAATTACTAGTCAGGCAGCTTTAACAGGCATTTACCAAGCACCGCTCTCAGCTTTTAGCTTCGAATGCTCAAATATCTTCTTGGTTCTTGCAAACGACCAATACTCCTTTACGATCCAATAGTATCGTCCAAGTACCGAGAATCGTCAGAGATGCTAATCTCGTTGGAAGATAAATATAAAAAAAGAAATTAAAGTACGAAATAAGATGCTTATCCTATAGCTGAATAGAGAAGGATTCCACGTTCACTGACAATAATACCGATCGTATATAAGAATCTTCTTTGTTGTGACCAACCGAATTCTAAGAATCGTTAACCAATCGAACGTCCAATAGAGCAGATGAAATAGTTATCTAGAATCTCAATTATCTGTTTACGTCATCTATTCCCTTTTTCACAAGACCAGACTGTATCTAGTGCAATAACGAAATGCGATATTGGAATTGGGTAATATACAAAAAAAAAATTTCAAACACCATGTGTAAACTTCATGACGGATAATGCAGTAACCGGTAATTTGATGTCTAAAGGAATTTTGAAAATCGATTAACGATCCATTAGACCTGATCAATAATTATTGGTCTATTGATAGAACTAGACGATCAGGTTAGGTTAGGCGTAAACCGAATACAGGTTAGTGAAACTGAGGCTTTAGCCTCAGATTCGGTGATGTAGCAAATTTCGACGGTAGGAACAGGAAGGAGTGTTATTCCGGTCAGGGCCGTAACAAGTTAAAAGAGAGCCCCCACAAATTCCCACCGTATACCATACTGCCGCACGTCAAGCTTCGGTGTTGACACTGTCGCCCGACTGTCTGCTCAGTCTTGAGCATCTTCAATGTCATCCAGTCCAGTCTGATATCCCCCCCCCCCTACCTTAGTTGTCTTTTTTCTTCTCGCTTTCTTCTTCGCCATAAAAATATCAGCAACCTCTTACACTGGACTATATCTCTTCCCATACCGTTTTCAATTACCCTGAAGTATTTACGGTACCCGAAATATATCCTGGCCGTCACTATCTCCCGACTGAAATCTCGATCCAGTAGCGGATAATTTAGGGTTCCTCAAAATATTCAAATAACTTTCACGCTCATAAATTTTCTTTTTTATCGATCATCCACAATCTTTAATTCATTTATATATACGTATTATCAAACTTGTTTATATTAAATTTTCGAAATTTATTCACAATTTTCTCCAATGATTCTACATTTTTTTTTGAAATTCTACTCCCATACCACATTCTACTCGTGCCTCTGGCTTATTCCGAAACGTCTTTCCTCGACGTTACATTAGCATAAAGACTGACCTTACTTACGTGCAGTCCTCCTTTCAATTAACAGGAATATTCATTAGGACACATTCTCATACTAACTACCCTGAACTAACTATGTCAAGTAGCTATCTATAGCGTCCAGTCAAATAGATTATCGCATTCGGTCCTCTAGACGGTCCCCATCGAATAATACATACCCGTATGTAGATCCAAGCGAATATCCCTATATGCCCAATAAGCATATCCCTATATGCCCTAATAGGCATATCCCCATGTATGCTTCGATCGATATTCCATCATTAAAAAAAAATGCACATCGTACAAATTGCGTGCGAGACCTCTATTAGCCACTGACTATATACCCTTAACTGTCTACTATAATACTTACGGTCATATACCGTATTATGGGCTGATTCAATAATTACTTTTAAACAAAGTCATTAATGATTCAGACCATTTTTACTATTAGTTATGTACGTATGGTTTGTCTCAATCGTTCCTTTAGCATTCGTACTGCTATCATCGTGGCACTAGACACTCTTATAATATTTCAGTCAAAAAGCAGTATACTCTCCTAGTGGCGTATCGAGGTACTACTGGATATCGAAGAACGTCAAACTTTTTGTACCGACTGTTTCGAGAGTCTGCCTAGGCTTTTCATGTACAGGAAAGATTCTGTCTAATTTTTCCTATACAGCAAAAACAAAAGTGCCTACTGCAATAGAGTCGTTATATATTCTTGTATCTGCTAATCGATATTCCAACGACATCACCCAGTATGTCGGCCACTGTTG